ATAGTTTTGGGTTTTACCTTTAAGTCTTTGATCCAGCTTGAGTTTGTTTTTTGTGTATGGGTGAGGTATGAGTCTTGTTTTATTTTTCTGCAAGTGGATGTCCAGCTTTACTAGCACCATTTATTAAAGAGGCTGTCTCTTCCCCATTTAATGGACTTTGGACCTTCTTATATGTGTTTCTGGATAAAACAGTAACACAAGTCCAAGTATTTAATCTTCCCCTGCCCCCAGAATATATCATTTATATATATATATATATATATATATATAAATGAGAAGGATCTGTTATTAATGCCAGAGACTAAACAGGTGTCAACAATGTGCCAGAAACTTTGTAGTTTTGCCACTGTGTGCAGTCAGGGTTGTATTGGCAGCTGTGTGACAACCAGACTCATCATTTTTTGCTTAAGAAAGAGCAGCAGAGCCAGGAAGCAGTGGAGGAGACCCTGCCAGAAGCCTGCTAAGGCTCCCTGCCATGACTCACACACACCTGAGGGGTGAGAACAAGAGACACAAGTAGAAACTTGGTCTTGAAAGGGAAAGAGTGTACTTAACAATTCTATACCCAGAAAAGTTGCCATTTATATATGAGGAAGACAGACAGATATTCTCTTATTTCCATCTTTTATTCCAGACTGTATTCAACTCTGATTCTTACTTGAAAATTTCCAGTAGGTGTAGTCTGACTGCTGGAAAACTGAATCAATGAAGAATGCAAGGATGAAAATGTTGTGATATCAAAGGGCTGGGGTCAGCAGAGAAAACAGTTAAATATAGTGTTAAAATTGTTGTTAATAAGATGATAAATCCTAATGTAAAAATACAGTTCTTAAAAAGATACAGATCAGAGAAAATTTAGGAAGAGTAATATCAGCTCAAAATGATAAACTGTCAACAAACTGTGAAAGTGGAAAAGTTAATGTAAGGAAACAAAAAGTTAAGAAAAATTTCTTATCAATGGAGGAGCTCAACAGAGGCAAATAATTAGAAAAAAAATGTTTAGAGAAATGTAAAGATACTGCTTGTAAATTAAAGTAGGATATATAACTTCCAATCACTAAAGAAAAAAAAAAAGATATGTTTAAAAACCATTAGAAGTACAAAGAGAAAGTGAAAGGACAAATTTATAGTTGCAAAAATGGGTAAAATGCTTTAAATAATGTAATTGAAAAGCTATATAAAATAATACACGTAAAGCAGTAGCCATGGAACATAGATAAGACTAATATATATTAAATCACACACACACACACACACAAACTCAATAAATTGTGCTGGCCACCTTCCTTGAACTCAGAGCAATTAACTAGAATAAAGACTTAACAAATTAGTACACAACCACCTGGAAATTTTAGACATTCTCCTTGGAACAAAAGTTTAAAATTAGAAATAGGACTGTTCATGAGATCACAACAAAGAGAGATAAAGGGAGAACCATAGATAGATCAAAATATTAAAAAAAAAAATACGTAGAATTTATGCTCAAACATTTGAGAACTTGATGAAATGCATGACTTTTCTTGAAAAAATATAAATGAGATTGTGAAAGCATGAATCCAAGGTTTCTGGTTAGCAATCAAATGGTCAATTGCATTATTCACTGAGAATCACATGAATCTTGAGTGGAACATTCAAGTGGAAATTTCCAAGGTAATTGGACATATAAAGCTAAATCTTGGGTAAGCTATGTCAGCTGGAAGTAAAGTTTTGTGATGGCCAGCATGCAGCATGACATGGAAATCATGGAGACATTTGTTATTTAGGGAGTATGTGTAGCAAAGCAGAAAGCTGGCTTGGCAACAATTTTGAGGAGCATCAACTTTTATCAGACAGGCAGAAGAAGACTAGTTCTCAAAGGAGGCTGAGATAGCTTGGCCAGAGAGGTAGGGGTAAAGCAGGACAGTAGGGGTACAGAAAAGCCAATGGGTGGGAATATTTCCACAAGGAGAGAATGTAAGCAGTGTAAAATGCTAATTTAAGGTGAAGAAAAACAGAGTAATTCTTGATTTAGTTAAAAAGTTATTGATGACCTTGACAAGAGCATAATATCCATGCTGTATAAGTTTTATGGAACATCTGATAAAGCATAGAAAGCTTCTCAATTTATTTTTCAAAGCTCATACAAAACAAAAATCAATCAGAAGTTGGAAAAAACCATGCATACAACTCTAATTATTAATATGGATACAAATCCCTAACAACTACAACAATGATCACTGATGCTTGTTGAGTGCTTGCTTTGTGCCAGCCACTATTCTTAGTAACTTAATTGATTTAATCCTCACACCAGTGGTTATAAGAAATTATCAACAAATTTAATTCAGATATATACTACATCCACAAATAAACATTTAGCTGTGAAATCGATTATAAAATTGAAGCAGCAGTTAGGACATCAGACGTATAGCACTGGGTAAATTGGTTGCAAAAGACTTCTTTAAGTGCTGAAGAGCAAAGATATCTCCTTGAAGACTGAGGTGCACCTGCACAAGCCATGGTGTTTTCAATCCTTTCATATGCATGTGGAAGCTGGACAATGAATAAGGAAGACTGGAGAAAGTTGATGCTTTTGAGTTGTGGTGCTGCTTAAGAATGCTGAAAGTTCTGCTAAAGAGCTAACAAATCTGTCCTGGAAGAAGTGCAGCCGGAATGCTCATTGGGAGTGAGAATGGCCAGACTTCGTCTCACCTACTTTGGTCATGTTATCAGAAGGGACCATTCACTGGAGAAGGATGTCATGGTTGGTAAGGTGGAGGGTTGATGAAAGAGGGGAAGGCCCTCAATGAGATGGATTGACACAGTGGCTGCGGCGATGGGCTCAAGTATAGCAGGGATCATGGAGCTGGTGCAGGACCAGGTGGTGTTTTGTTCTGCTGTGCACAGGGTCACTATGAGTTGGAGACAACTCAACGACAACTAACAACAACAATTATAAATTCAGTATCAGTCATAGGAGAATAATGAATATTGCCATTTTCTAAAATTCCAACAAGTCTTCATAAAAAAAAAATTCTTCCTATAGCATGATAAATAATATCTATCTCAAATAGACAACACTACATTTGGTGGTGAAATAGTACTATCATTCCCACCTGAAAGTAACAATATCCACCATCACCCTTATTTTTAGACATTGCTTGGGACGTTCTAGCCAACACTAGAATGAAATTAAGAGAATTAAGAACTAAGAGGAATATCTATCACAAGGCCAAAATGATGATTATATATAGATGATATGAATGTAGAAGCCTAAGAAAATCAGTAGAAAATACATCAATGGATAAGAATAGTAGTTAAGCCAAAAAACCAAACCCACTGCCAACTAGTCAATTCCAACTCATAGTGACCTGATAAGACAGCGTAGAACTGCCTTGTAGGGTTTCCAAGGCAGTAAATCTTTATGAATGCAGACTGCCTCATCTTTCTCCTGCAAAGCGACCGGTGGGTTCAGGTCACCAGGCTTTTGGTTAGCAGACAGATGCTTTAACTACTGCACCACCAGAACTCCTAGTAGTAGTAGTTAGAACAGATTAATTATATATTGATTGTGTATTTGTGAGTTGATACTTGTACTATCAGATTTTAAACATATGTTATAACCACAACAGATGATTCTCACCCCCAGAAGGGCAACAACACAAATCAATGGAACAGAATAGAATGCCTAGAAACCACATACTAAATTGTTTTATACAGTTGGCAAAAGAATATTATTAATTGATGAATAATATTATTCAACAACAAAATATATGTAAGTTAAATCATTTGAAGAATATATATACTGCTAACCAGAAGGCTGGCAGTTCAAATCCACCAGCCACTTCTTGAAAGGAAGATTTGGACAATCTACTTCCATAGTGATACCACCTTGGAA